CCCCAAAACCCCAAAACCCCAAAACCCCAAAACCCCCAGAACTGAAATATTTGGCCTTAGGAATATTGGTAAATTCTCACTTAAATAATTGGAATAATTTTGCATAATTATAATTAAATTCAAAGCAATAATCATTCTCTATACCAACTACCCAACATGTAGGAATCTTTACCAGAGATAAGCACTTCTTCTAACTAAATCGAGAGGTAAGACTCTTATTCAAAAACATTCAACGAGTATTCTTAACATCCATTCTGCAGGGCCTCGTATGCCTTCTTGCTCGGTTAGACCAATGTATGGTTTTAAGGCGAACAGTAAAGACCTTTCGCCTCCAATTAAGCAGCTTAAAAGGACGAGATCACCAACGATAAATTTGCTGCAGTCTCTCAATCGTCTGCCTATTCTCTCTCTGATGACTCTGCCTCTACTGATGAAGGGGCCCTCCAGAACAGTAAGTCAATTTAATTGAGATTAAACTCTCCCCGCATAGATGAATGCACTAAACTCACTCAGATTCTGAAATTGTAGGACGGAATGTTCAAATTCTATGACATTGACTCCAGAGTCGGTCTAAATGGCTCAAGGAGTCTCTGGAGCTTCTCATGTTTACATGATGAAGTCAACTCAAGATTCTTTATCTGGCTAGGCGATCTTCCAATCGAAAAATTCACTAAATCCACTTTCCTTAACCTCACCAACTTCGCTGATAAGCTTAGTTGCAAGCAAGTCGTTCTCATTATGAACAGAGATCATTAACAAAAGAGTAAGTATTTTGCCTTCAATTTTTCATAAGGATCAATTTATTTATGAGATTCTGATATTTGAAAATTTAAACTCTTATCATAACCTCTGATTGCTAATTTTTTAAATAGATGAGTACTAAAGACTCTTAAGCGTCATGGATGCTCAGAGAGTAAGCAAAAGAGGCATGGACCAATTATTAACTGCTGCCAGAATCACAGATTGGATCTAGCTTTATGCTCTCTACAGAATCGAACTTCAGTGAGTCAGAGATACATGCCCATTTGAAAGAATTCAGGGGCTAAATTTGAGAGAAAATACGGTCAACAATGAGGATTGAGAGGCCTGCAAAGATCAAGGAATCTCTTGAAGGGAAATGAGGCTAAATTTTAGTCAAAATAAGGCTCAGTGGAGGAATGTCAAAGAATACGCAACTAGTATGATTCCTGAGGGGTTGGGAAGCAACTCGTTGACTCTCTCGTAGTGGCCAACCACTGCGATTGAGAAGCGAGTCAGTACTTCCTTTCATTTGAAAGGGTTACACGCTTCCTTTAGCTCTAATTAATCATCATGCTTTTGCCTTCTTTGATACCACACTTCTTTGGCTTTTACTTAGTTTCATCACCTTCTCCTTATATTTCTTAACAAGTTTAAAATACCTTCTCTTTTTATTTCAAATTTATTCTATATGGGGTTTTGGGGTTTTGGGG